CAGTGATGTGCCTGTAGACAATGTCAACGTAAACAATTGATTGTCTACGCGTAGACAATTCGAATTGTTTACGTGAGCATTTGTCTACACATTGTCTACATGCGACGTAAACAATAACTTATTTTAAAAAATTCAAAAAAGAATATCAAAAGTTACTATACTATCACTATTACTTCGATATTAGCATTCACTGATTATAAAATATCAGAAAAACCAATAATAAAATAAAAATAATTAAAAAAAAGGAAAGTGTGAGGTTAGAATTAAACGTCATTTATATTATTCTACATTGTTGACACGTTGTCTACATTGTCTACATTATCTACACGTAAAGTAGACAATGAAAGTCTACGTGTAGACGCACATCCCTGGGTGAAAACAGTTCAAGCAATTTCAAGTAGATGGCGCCAGGGCAAAAAAGCTACATTGGGAGCATCATAATTGTATATTTGTCTTTCTCTGTCACTAAGTGTTTCACCGACAAACAGATTTTGTTTTGGACAAATAATAAAATATTGAACCCTATGTGTAGAGTGACGCAGTTGTCATTTTCAAAAACTAAATTTAAACATGGCGGCCATTAACGCGGCCTTAAGGTTTCTCAAGAAAATTTAAGAGTAGATGATGCCTGAAGTAGATAGGCCTGAAATCGAGTAAGCGAAGATGAATGTTTCCGAAAATGCCTGAATCTAATGAACAATGGATGACGTTTACACAGAGGAAGTTTTTTTTTTTGTTTTGAAAGAGTGCGAATGGCCCAGGCGGCCGGCGCGAAAATCCGCGCCATTTTGTTTACTTGCGAGAGATGTTATTTATTGCAAGGTTGTTTGATAGAGGCGAGAGAGGTAGGATGCCTGGTAACTTTATGACGTCATCTGGGCTGCCTCAACATAAGGTAAATCTCTAGCCGAGTTCGTTTTTGTCATCTCTTTCGTCGATTTGCTCCGAAATTTTGACAGGCACGTGACTGGATCAGACAGTTTCAATTCACAAATCACGTGCCTGTCAAAATTACCATACTTTATACATACCTTGATGCGTTATCAAGTTACCCATTACCATACAATCTGAACCTTGATTTATTGAAAAATTTTGTTTACCTATAAAAAGAATTAGGGGGGTGGGGGGGGGGGAAGTAGTGTATGCCCTATGTCGAATTTGTCATGCCCTATCTTAAATTTGACTTTAGCTACGGCCCTGCCCCAGGGCGTCGAAGCCTGGGGTTTCAAAGCTCTGAAAAGAAAGCACCTTATAAGACTTATAAGAGCCACTTTCCAGCTGACATTGTATTTTTTCGAAAATTTTCAACTTCGATATAATAGGGGTGGTAAGTTTTAAAATGAACACCCTGTATATATTGACTCTACTCTAACCAAGAAACAGTTTTACGAAATCACCGTCAATTTGGAAGGTTGTTTGATTCAGGTTTAATTTAAATTCAGGTTTAATTTAGGATTAATTTAAATTAGGTTTAATTTGAGATTAGGGTTAACTGGGTGGTAGCGGGGTTTTTGTCGATTATTTATTCTGTTACTTTCATTGGGGAAACAGGTTGTGAATTGTTTGTGTTCACAAACCATCTAGGTATTTGTGATGTTTTTTTTCGATTTTTTGATTCTCTAAACATTAAATAAAAATATTGGGCACATCAATATAGAGCACATAGGTAGACATGTTTACAGGGCCGTAGCTAGAGTCAAATTTATGATAGGGCATGACAAATTTGACATAGGGCATACACTTCTTGCTCTGCTTCTTAAATGTTTTATTGGTAAACAAAATGGGGGTAATGGCGCATTGGCGCCAAAGGAAAATTTTTCAATAAATACCATCTCTGTCAAGTAAACAAAATGGCGCTGATTCTCGCGCCGCCTTGGGCCATGCGCACTCTTTCGAAACGAAAAAATACCTCATACCTGATGTGCAAACGTCAAACATTGTTGCATATATTAAGGCGTTTCCGGAAATAAGCTTCGTCCTCAGTTGCACGAAATTCGCTCTTTTTCTGACATTGCTTCGACAAATTGACGTTTTATACACGCATAAAACTTCAAATTTTCGAAGCAATGTCAAAAAAAAAGCGAACTCCGCGCAACTGAGAATGAAGCTTTATCCTCGCACTTACTCGATGTCAGGCCTATTCATTATCTATTCTTAACAAATTTCCTAGAGAAACCTTAACGCATGTTGTGTTTTAAAGGTATGGCATCTTCATTTGAAAGATAGGGCATTGCCCTGCATGTTTATACCATGTAGGTGCTACGTGCTACAAAATAAATCTTGTTTAATGTGGATCTAATTAAGAGTTAATTGTTACAACTCATTGTGAATCAAACCTTTCATGATCAATAAATGAAATGAAATGAAAAAGTATTTCCACCTAAACGGTGTATGGATCCAAGCCATTTACTATCCTCAACTTGTGTCGATACCTTGAATAGCAGACAAATAAAATAAACATCAGGATTCAGGATTTGGTTAAGAAAAAACTAAACAGGAAACAAATCCTGGATAGTACCTACCTAATTGTTTAGTAGGAAAAGGTTTGTCACAAAGAAATCATACCTTTTGCCAGTACCGAATTGCCATCATCCGGGTTTTCCACAAAACTAATAACTTCTTAAAATAAAAACTTTCCATCTAAAATACGAACATTATCCTGCCAAGCACTAAAAAATTACCTAGCATCACCATAAAATACACAAAAAACAGTGTTTTGGTTTAGATAAAAATGTCATGGTTGAGGTTGTTTGAATTAAATTTATGGCGCCAATTTCATTGCTTTTTACCTAGCATCGGCCGCCATTTTGATCGGATTGCCCTATTCCCGTAAGCTAGAGATGAGACTCAGTTACTTAAAGATCTAGCAGCTATTTATTAAAAAACTTTTTAGGGGCAAATTCAAATATTAAATTAATTGGAATTTCATTAAATCCAATATTGACATCTATTTAAACCCTTCTTCAGAATAGAGGATGTTTTCTGTGCCAGAACTCAATAAGTACCAAAGTACCTAACTTTGAACTACAATCAAATGTAGCGCTTATGGAATAAGCAATTAACAATAATTCGCTAGACAGATCAGAAATATATTCTCATGAAATCCAATTAAAGATAAGTAATTGAATTGCAGTGAAAATATAAATTAAAAACGTAACAATAAGGAAACTGTGAATTTGTTGAATAGTTACTTACGTTTTTCCAAATCGGCAGGATATTAGCACGAAATTTCCTATTATCCTACACACTTCAATTTAATTGTCTTTCTGCTTAAATGCGCGTTAACGTCGGTAGGTAATTAATGATTTTTTACATGTAGGAAACACGAATGAATTTATATTTTTCTTTCAAAACCCTAATTTGTAATTATCCACCATGAACGCCTGTTTATATAACGCAAAAGGAAGATGGATGGTGGATCGCTTTCGTAGAATGGTTCGTCTGGGTTTTCCGCAAAAAGATTATAGGATTCACGTGTTTATTTTCGATGTTCAAAAACTACTTATTAAATAGCAGTAGTTATTATGCAATAATGCTCTTCAAAATCGACAGAACTTGTATTGTTTTTCTTGATTATATTCAGTATAGGTACCATAAATATATTCAGCTGTATGCTACATCCTCTTTTAACTTAAAAGCGCTTTTTAAAACTGGGTACCTTTAAAATTTTGTATGGATTAGTATAAACATTTTTAAAAGTGACCAATTAGGTTATGAAACGCTCAGGAAAAGATCAAAACCTGACGGAGCTCAAAGACAGGAAAAAAAAAAGAGAAACATCGAGATCGAGGGTGACTGGCAGCACTTTCACAACAACCAGCAAATCATAAATCAGAAGGAAAAAAAAGAAGCCGAAGACCTGCAGACCAAGAACAACAGGAACAAACCAAACTCGAGAAAGGCCTGGAAAACTTGATTTTCTTCGAATGTTAAAAAACTTAAACAAGTGTTTAAAATAATATTAAGGTTCTTCTTTTATTGCAATCACAGTTTTCTTTTATTTCTTCAGTTCCGTCCAAGTAAACACACCGATTATCCTATTATTTTTGAATAAAAATAGCAGGTAAGTAATTGCCTATTTTTTTTGGGATTTGCTGGCATTGTCAAAGCGATATCTCTGATTTTTTTCTGCACCTGGCTTTCTACTAAAATTAAACTGTGAGTCTGTTCTTTCGTGAAACTCGACACCATTTTTCTTGCAAGTTTGCCCCTTTTGTAGGCACTACATATATAGAGAAACTATACCAAAACTTGAAAGTAAAATATGAAATAGAAAATATTTTCAATTTTCTCTTTTTTAGCAATATCTTGTTAAATTATGTATCAAATTTTTTACACATACATAATGGAATTTCAATAATACTTATTTTTCCATTGATTGCGCCTCTGAAAAATGATTTATCTATAAAGTCAGTTTTCCGCATTTCAAGACGACTATTTACTTTGATAAAAAATATTATAGTACATATAGCCAATAAAATACCACAAGTCCAAAAAAGAGAAAAATATGTTTTTACCCAAACTAACCCAATCGTCTTGAGCAGTTTCTCAAAAATAGGCCTATACAAAATAGAGCACTACATTTCCTCTTACATCCAATAGTATTGTCAAATTAATCATAGAAAAAATGGGAATCTCTATATAAAACCAGTCATTTTATTTTATACCTACTGGTATCTGCTAAAGCTTAATAACTTCTCAACTTTTTTTTTTGAGAATTTTGAAATTTTGAGCTCCCTATTGAAATCCAAAACTGACATTACATGCAAAATAATCGCCACAGAAATAAAGTTTTAAATCAGGTACCCATGAAAAATGTTCTGGTAAAATACGTTATTCAACCAATTTAAATAAAATCAATCGCTGACTGACTAGAAAAGTGAAACGAAATATCATTATGCACTATTCTGTTGAAGTATAGGTACTCATTGTAGTGCGTAACCACCATGAAATCAGAGTCATTAACAAAAATAAAATGAAAAATCAGTCCGTTCACTCACCAGTAATAATGGCAAACTCATTTTTAATCACAAGCTATCAAGAAACTGCGAACAAAACTTAAAACTATAATATAGGTACTTTTGACTCGGACCCGCGAACACAATAAACAACAATACGATTTGATGCAGGCGGCGGTTTTATAGATTACGTTGCCATTTCTCCTTTTTAAGTTTTCTTGCTAATGGATAGGACGGGAAGCAGGCTATTGTTGAAGTGATGCAGATTTGTTCTTACATTAATGGTTCTTGACAATCAAGTTCTAGCGCAGAAATAAACAAAAGATTTTTGTATGCAAACAGGTTTTCAATCAAATTTGATCAAATTTCAATAGAACTGCATCTAGATATTATTGAGGGTAAGTAGAGGTCAAACGAGATGACCAAGTCCACCAAGACCTAACAGAATTTTCCTGTGTAAGCATTCAGCTAGGGGAAAGGATGAATTTATAGACATTTCGGCTGCTTTTAGATTTGTTTTACAGAAAAATATAAATTTGTATCGGTTCAAAAATTTTACTATTGTTGAAAAAGTGGTTTACTTCATCCTTTTTACATCCAACATGCAGGGAGTTATTTGTTGAGAAAAAGAAAAACATAAGAATTCTTCAGCTTAGGGCATACAGGGGAGCTATTGCTTCAGGGTTCAGGGTCCACTAAAGCTCCCTTCACTAACAACTTTACTTTTATTCAACTTATTGAGTTTATAAAATTTAGTTATCGTTTTTACTTAACTTTATACAACAATTCTTTTGTTCAAACTGACTGACTGCAACTTAGAAACTAAGCGCTTTATAGACAAACCCATTCGACCAAAAAATTGCTCTAGAATTTCAATGTTTCTCCCAGGGATAAAGGTTTTTGTTTTCAGCAGGTATCCTATGGATAAAAACGAAGTATCTGCTAGTACTACAATTATTAGTTGATTCTCCGAAGTATTTACTTCAAAACGAAGTAGATACTACATTTCGAATCTACCGGAAATTAGTAAATCCTTCTTTTTGAAGTAAATCGTCATAAGCAGCCCAGTCGCGTCCAGTTCTGAACATTAGCCTCCCCTGCCAATTTCCATCTCTGACGGTCTTGTGCAATGTGTTGCCATCCTCTCCCTCATCATCATCATCATCGTCATCATCAATAAGCCTATTGTAAGGTCCACTGCTCACTGCTGAACATAGGTCTTCCGCAAATTTTGCCACTCTTCCCTATTCTGTGCAGCTTGCATCCAGTTTGTCCTGATTCTCCACTCCAGCATGCTCACAGGGCTGATAGATGTCGAGTTTGTTCGTTATCCTTTTTGTGATTATTGTCATGAATAGCTTGTATACGTGACGTGGGACAGCAAATTGTTCGGTCGATAGGTTCTCAGATCTGTAATGTCGCCCTTCTTATGCATAATGACAATGACAGCATTTGTCCATTGGGAGCAGTGGCGGATGGAACCGCCGGGACACCGGGCAAATGCCCAGTGGGCCGGACTCCGACATTGGGCCGCCGTCTGCCGTCTTAAAATAGTTATTTTTGTCACAAGTACCTAAAATGAAGTTTTTCAGGACGAAACATTGCTGTTTACGGACGAGGCGTTAGCCGAGTCCGGAATAGCAGATGAGTCCTTGAAAACTTCTTTAGGTACGTGTGACAAACACTATTTTTTGTCATACGCTTTTTAGAATTCTTCAAAATCCTAAAAAGAAGCATTTTACGGACTTGAATGAGTCCGTAAAATAGCTGTTTTTGGGAGTGTATGACAAAAAAACTTTTTTATAAGTTCTTGTAAACTTTACACCAAAAATTTCAGCTCCAATAATATTATCTTCTGAATTGTTATATCACCAAGAGCGGAGACCAGGATCCTTCACTTTTGATGCCCCAGCCCTACTTTTTGATCCTACCGTACCGCTCAGACCATGATTGCTGGTTGGCTGGCCATACCACCTAGTCCTATTCATCACAAGAAAACTATGGCCAAGGCGTGATTGCTGTTCGATTATATTTTTGTGTTATTGTCATTGGACTTATTCAGTATAGGTATTCTATTATTATCTCCTATCAGTAACTTTCCCTCTGGCCTGCAAATATTTTTGAAATTTGAAACACTAGAAAGATAGTTTTGGCCCTGATAAAGGAACTTTTTGACTAGAAATATTTATTTATGTCATTTATAGGCCAAGAAGTGGATCTTTTTGTGCTGAGCGGAAACATTTGAAAGCCGACGTGCAGCGAAGGCCTACAGTCGAGCGAAGGACAGAAAGGCTGTCTGGGCCGAATGGCACACAACATTTTATCTTCAAGCGATTGCAATATTAGGTCTGTTTCCACAGAAATCACAAACTAGTGGAAGCGATTTTCATTTGCTGAAAATAATCAGGAAAGTGGTTATTGGCGGTTTGGACCAATCAAAAACGCTGTGACTGATTTGTGATTTCTGTGGAAACAGACCTATTATTTTTCACAACTTCACCTTAGGACTGTTTTATTTTTAATTGTCCATTTACCAAATGTCAAAATGGTCAAATGTCACTGCTATAACTGACTGCTAATAGATGGCGCCACGGCCTTGGTGTCCAGGGTAACTTGTGATTTCTGAATAAATCTAACCTGAATGTCAGAGCTAAAATTAATAGTTCGAAAATCGTACCAACTACTCTCGACCACAGAGCAGAGCTGGGCAAAGCTCTCACTGAAAGGGCTTGAAGCACTAAGCCCTAAGCCCTTTCTCAAAGTGCTTTCAATTCCAAGCACAAATTCCTTTTTATTTTCAAAAGTGCTTCCCAAGCACAAAGCCCTCAAAGTGCTTAGGGCTTGGCAAGCACAAAGCCCTCAAAGTGATTTGAAAAGGGCTTGTGCTTCAAGCCCTTTTCAAAAGTGCTTGGGGTGGCTTAAAAACTGCTTTGAAGCTCTTTAAATGTGCTTGAAGCTCTTTAAATGTGCTTGAAGCTCTTTAAATGTGCTTGAAGCTCTTTAAATCTGCTTGAAGCTATTTGAATGTGCTTGAAGCTCTTTAAATGTGCTTCAAGCTCTTCAAAAGTGCTTGAAGTTCTTCAAAAGTGCCTGAAGCTCTTCAAAAGGTTTTGAAGCTCTCCAAAAGTGCTTGAAGCTCTTCAAAAGAGCTTGAAGCTCTTGAAATGTGCCTAAAGTACTTTGAATTTGTGATACAATTCTCAAAGTTGCAAAAACTACTGCGCATACACTCATCAGTTGAATTAGTATAGTAGAAATAGAAATAAACTTTAAATTTTACAAATTAGCAGTAGTATTTTATTTTATTTTTTGAGTGGTAATGGTAATGGTAATTCAATTTTGAGGTTTTCAAATTATTTAATGAGGAAAAGTGAAAAAAATTCCAGTGATAAAGTTAAATAGGGTACCTTATATAAATTAATTATTTATTTAAACAATCAGTCCATTAATTTTTTTTAAATTCAATTCTAAGCTCAAACCCAAAACCTCCATTATTAAGAAAGAAAAGAAATTGGAGGGTCCTAGTTCAAATAATAGAAAAAAAATTAAGCCACAAAACACATCGATCCAAAATTTTTTGGTGGGGGATAGGTTAAATGATGGTCAATTCAAATTCCTTTCAAAGTGCTTCAAGCTCTTTTAAAGTGCTTGAAGCCTTTTTAAAGTGCTTCAAGCCCTTTTAAAGTGCTTTAAGCCCTTTCAAAGTGCTTCAAGCCCTTTCAAAGTGCTTCAAGCCCTTTCAAAGTGCTTCAAGCCCTTTCAAAGTGCTTCAAGCCCTCTAAAAGTAATTGAAGCTCATTGAAAGGGCTTGAATTACTTTTTTTCAATTACAAATTACCAAGCACTTTTCTGATGTAATTGACTTTGCAAGCCCCAATTACAAATATATAAAAGGGCTTGAAGCACAGGGCTTTCAAGTCCTCAAAGTGCTTCAAGCACTTTTCCAAGCACAAAGCCCTCAAGCCCTGCCCAGCTCTGCCACAGAGTATAAACCTATTCGATCAACATTGGACAGTTCTTGAACACTTGAACTGTCAAACATCCGAAGCAGATTTAACCGGAAAACCCGTTCCCATTTCAAAAACATAGTCCTAAATTTAGTCCCACAAAATAGCGCTGAATGACGCTGCTGCCTCTAGCAAAAAAAATCGAACCCCATACATAAATATTTCCATGGTCTTATAGGAACATAATGGACCACTTCTCTGTCTAGTGTTGATGACAATAAAGTTCAAATTATGAACCGCTTTACGATAAAAGGTATTTTTGAGCGTGGCTCTCGAAAAAAGTTTCGCCTCCGACTAGGGTTGCAGCTGTTGTTTCTTCAAACAAATTGTCGTTGTGACAGTCCTGTCACGTCATTGCTTGTTTGCTAGCATGAGCTTTGAAAGTTTAAATAAACGTTTTTGTGCTACCCATTCTGTAAGTTGACTTTTTTGACCTACGTCCATGAACTGTAAGTGTCACTTACAGTCCGGGTCAAAAAAGTGTTGATATGAAAGGGGAAAATTGCTTGGTTCATATCTCTGTCAAAATAATGTCACAAAAACACTAGACTTCCTAAATAAAAAACCCAAAACAAATTGAGGATACAATTTTATTGAAACAAATAGAAAATACCTAGACGTCAAAAAGTTGAAATTAGCATAAACAGATAGGTAATAATAGAAAAATGAGATACTTCATAATTATTTACTTTGTAATTTTGAAAGTAAAAGAAACATTTTTACAACTAGTCACATTTAACACAGGCATACTTTCCTGTATTGAAGAACTTAAAATATTAGAATCTTAGTACTAAAGGAATCCTCGACTATCATAGAGGAACTTGTGCTGGGAGTTGCGGATTCAAATCTTACATTCTCTGAATGTACGGTAGCACAAAAAATATCATATGCACCTCGACTTGTAGCGTGTACTTTTTTGGCCTCAAATGCTTGCAAACCTTGGCCCTACGGGCCTCGGCTTGCAAACTGCATCCTCGGACAAAAAAGTAACACTTACAAGCCTTGGTACATAAATAACTATTTTGTGCTACCCATTCTGTAAGTTGACTTTTTTGACCTACGTCCATGAACTGTAAGTGTCACAGTCCGGGTCAAAAAAGTTACTTTTTGACCGGGTCAAAAAAGTGTTGATACGAAAGGTGAAAATTGCTTGGTTCATATATCTGTCAAAATAATGTCATTGAAACAAATAGAAAATACCTAGACGTCAAAAAGTTGAAATTAGTATACAAACAGATAGGTAATAATATAAAAATGAGATAC